CCAGTGTAAAGAAGGAGCCATGAAAGAACAAGGTACCTCTCTCTGAAGGGAGCAGAGAACTTCTACTTTGATTATGACCCTATCCAAATAATGTCAGAGTTTCTGGACTCAAGAGGCTTCCATAACCTTGGAAGCTCATGAAAGAGTCTCAAGTGATCACTGACATCATAAATAAGAGTGACAGTTGTTAAATCAACAACAGGAGTCACTGTGCAGTTGCTCCCCATATAGGACCCCTGTCCTTAATGCATTGTACTATGAGAATTAACAGTAAAATTAGTCTTCAAACAGTACTTTATACTTTGTATGTCTGTGTGGGTGCAGACTGTTGAAATCTTTACTTAGTATAGAGTTGATCTTATGTATGTAAAGATAATTAAAAAAAATCTTAATGAAGAATGGGATGGGAGCCGGCGTTGCAGCTCAATAGGCTAATCCTCCGCCTGTGGCACCGGCACACCGGGTTCTAGTCCCGGTCGGGGCGCCGGATTCTGTCCCGGTTTCCCCTCTTCCAGGCCAGCTCTCTGCTGTGGCCAGGGAGTGCAGTGGAGGATGGCCCAAGTGCTTGGGCCCTGCACCCCATGGGAGACCAGGAGAAGCACCTGGCTCTTGCCTTCGGATCAGCACGGTGCGCCTGCTGCAGTGCGCTGGCCGCGGTGGCCATTGGAGGGGGAACCAACGGCAAAGGAAGACCTTTCTCTCTCTCTCTCTCTCTCTCTCACTGTCCACTTTAACTGTCCAAAAAAAAAAAAGAATGGGATGGGATGGGAGAGGGAGTAGGAGGTGGAGGTGGGACAGTTTGGGGGTGGGAGGGTGGGTATTGGAGAAAGAACTGCTATAATCCAAAAGTTGTACCTATGAAATTTATATTTATTAAATAAAAGTTTTCTATAAAATAAATAAATAAATGCATTAGCCAAGCACTTCTACCACAAATGAGTATACAGCTTAACCTGCATGTTGAAAATTAATTCAACATTTTAAGTACACTAGAACTTTTATTTTTTAAGGAAAGTGAAAACAAGAGCAATACTGGAATATGCAAAATAAATTAAATCAAAAGAAGAGCCTTGAAGAAACTGTTGAATCTTAACACAACTTGAGGAGTGAATACTTCACATGAAGTTCAAAACAAATGCAAATATAAATCATATTTCTAATAAATACACAGTTATATATAAATCCCACTTCAAAATCTCTTAGTATAACACCAATTAGCATTGGAGTTTCCTCTCTTGAAAACACATTATATTTTCCCAGTAAGATTTTGTTGTTTTATCTTCCAGTTTATTACTTTAATGTTATAATAAAGGTCTCCATAACTTGGCACTGATCCATTCAGCATCATAGTTTCTGCTGTATTTATCAAAAAAGCTGTATCTATCAAAAAAATGAAGACTACAAGAACTTCAGTGAGCTTATTGAACATGTTGTTTGGAAGGTGTTGAATGTGCCATATAAATTATATAAACATCAGTCTATGGAAATGTTTATAAGATCTCTGTATCCCAGATGTTGATCCAGTGCCTACAGAACATGAAGTCAATTAGGTCTGGATTCACAGGGTTGCTTCACTTAAGAAAGAAGAAACTTATTTTTCCCCCCAATATATCTGCCTGTCTGTCTCAGGATGGCCTTTCATGTACAAGGAAGGCAAATTGAAAAGTTCCCAGAGGACAAGGTCCCTGAGGCTCTAGGGTTATAACTGTTCCCAGTTACTTCTGGAACTAGCAGAGTCTCCAGTACCGGTAGAGCCAGACCCCATGCATCACCACCTCTGTAAGTGTTCGGGTAGAGGGTGCTGAGGGGTGGCTAGACCAAGATTATCTGGAACACAAGAGACCTATCTATCCCTTCAGCCAAAATATGGGTTTTCCATTCCTGAGTCAGTAATGCTGCAATAGCCAGAAAGCAGAATAGTAGAAAGTACATTTGGTCTCAGTTTAGAAGGCACATGTGAGAGCTTATACTCTGAAACCTCCTATTTTTTTTTACCTCTGATGGGTGTTTGGTGGTGCCAGCCTGCAGAGAAGCTGGAGTTTGTGCACAGGAAATTATCAGGTAGTGGTAGAACTGCAGAGTATATCCTGTGAAGCTCAGTTAAGAAATTTGGGAGTTTTGGCTGTGAACATTGAAATTTGGGGGCTTTAGGAAGAGAGTCTGCCTAATTCCTAGGTTAGGAATTAAATGCAGTCAATGTAACTTCAGAGACTGGGGGCAAAGAACACCCATGAGGACCACTGGGGGTCAGGAACTACCTGTTCAACAGATGTAGACTCAATTTAAATAATTGCTCAAGCTTACCGAATGCCCAGAAGAGTTAAAGCTACCTGTCATCGGATGCATTCTATTATGTCTGAAGCTATACTTGGGAGATGTCTGACAGGTCAGTCTGAGATATATGAACTTAGGTGATCCCAAACAATCTATCAGCTTCCTAAAACAGGCTATGTTGGTGCCATGCTGTGAGTCTATCATGAACCTGGGCAAGAGTTGGGCTATGGAGACTTTGCTCTGGTCTTTGACTTTCAGTTTTCTTGGCTTCCTCATCTGGTCCCTTTTTTGGAACTGGAAACCATTAATTTTAGGCCCTTAGTTATGGAATAAAGACATAAGCCTCAGCCATTTTAGCTCATTGCCCAAAAGAGAGAGAAAATCAGAATTTATCCCTTGTCTCTGAATTTCAAGTCTCACACCCTATTGTAACCCCCCACCCCCATTTCCACACACATTATTCCTCAGGTTCAGAAGCCAGCAGGCTAAACTTGAAAGATCTGTATGGAGGAATTCACCTCTGCCTATTTCCCCCCACCTTCCCCTCCACCCCTAGCCCACCTAAGATATAAAAAAGCCCAGCCCCTGGGGTCTGGACCCTCTGCCACATATTCAGTCTATGTGCACACTCACAGTTGGTCACCCACCTCTGTGGATTTACTTATTTTTTTTAATAAATTCATCTGGCTGTGAGTTTGTAATCTGTCTCTTCTCTGTTCTGTGTCACTTTTCCTTATGTTCAGTTCCCCATGTGAGGAGGCACCAATATGTGCTCTTTTTCTAACACTTAGCCCTAGTTGAGCCCTGGCTGCTCCACTTCCTATTCTGGCCCCTGATAATGGCATAGAAAAGCAGTGGAGGATGGCCCAAGTACTTGGGCCCTTGTACCAACATGGGAGACCTAGAAGAATCTCCTGGCTCCTGACTTCATCCTGGCCCAGACCCAGCTGCTGTAGCCATTTGGGAAGTGAACCACTGGATGGAAGACTTTGTTCTCTCTTTCTCTGTCTCAACTTTACCTTTCAAATAAAGTAAAATAAATCTTTAAAACAACAGGAAAAGAAAACAAATGTATTTGCATTTTCAGATACTTTACTTCCAGAGCTGAGTAGGTTATTTAATACTTATTGAATGAATTATGACTGAAAAACATGCAGGAATATTCCAGAGAAAAGAGAAGGAAAACAAGAGATCCAAGAAGTAAATGGAGAGATAAAACCCTACATACTTTGAAGTGTGGTGAGTCACAAATCAGACAATATGTTTAAAATTCGTTTTGAACTTGCCAAAGTTGGTACCAATATACTCTATTATTATCAAGAGAAAGAGGCATAGCGGGAGGCATAGAAGGCTATCACGTGGGAGGACCACGTCTGGCAGACTTGACTGGGGAAGTACAGGATCAGGAGGAATAAAGACTCTCTGGAGGGAAAGCCCATCCTCCCTGCCCTGTTGAAGTGAAATGGACACTATGAGAAACTATAACTTGATCGGCCCTTGTTCTGACTGTCGAGGAACAAGTTAATACTTTATTCCTTTCAGTTTTTTTGTTGTTGTTCTACTCAATACTATTGGTTGAACTCAGACACAAAATTAGTCTTAGGTGTTTAAATTTAACTGAAAAGTGATCCCTGTAAATAAAAGAGTGGGAATAAAAGAGGGAAGAGATATACAGTTTGGCACATGCTCAATCAGACTTGCCCCAAGTGGTAGAGTTAGATACATGCCTGGGGACTCCAATTCAACCCATCAAGGTGGCATGTAACAATGCCATTTCACTAGTCAAAGTGATCAGTTTCAGTTCATAATTGATCATAATGGTAGGATTAGAGTCAAAGGGGTCACATAAACAAGACAAGTGTCTGCTAATACTAGCTAATATAATTTTAAAAAGGGAGAGAACGATCCAGCATGGGAAGCAGGATACACAGCAGACCCATAGTATGCCAGATGTCCTAAACAGCACTCTGGCCTCGGAATCAGCCCTTAAGGCATTCAGATCTGGCTAAAAATCCCATGAGAGTATTTCAGGCATGGAAAGTCAAGACATTCTGGCAAAAGAAAAAATGACCTAAATGAAAGATCTCTGTGAGTGAGATCCCAGTAGAAAGGATGGGCCGTCGAAGAAAGAGGTAACTTTCTCTGGAGGGAGGAGAGAACTTCCACTTTGACCAAGACCTTGTCTAAATAAGATTGGAGTTGGCGAACTCAAAAGGCTTCCATATCCTTGGCAACTCATGACTAGAGCCTAGGGAGATTACTGACGCCATAAACAAGAGTTTCAATTGTTAAATCAACAACAGTAGTCACTGTGCACTTACTCCCCATATAGGTTCTCTGTCCTTAATGTGTTGTACTATTGAATCAATGGTATAACTAGTAATCAAACAGTACTTTACACTTTGTGTTTCTGTGTGAGTGCAAACTTTTGAAATCTTTACTTAATATATACTAAATTGATTTTCTGTATATAAAGATAATTGAAAATGAATCTTGATATGAATGGGATGGGATGGGAGAGGGAGCGGGAGTTGGGAGGGTTGTCGGTGGGAGGGAAGTTATGGGGGGGAAGCCACTGTAATCCAATAGCTGTACTTTGGAAATCTATATTTATTAAATAAAAGTATAAAAAATCAATCACTAATTAAAGCAATATATATTAAATTGTCAATGGGACATTGACATTGACAAATAGGGAGTGGGACATTTATCAGAGTTCCTTCTTTGTACTAGAGTCTTCTATCCATTTGACCATACTGAGAGTTCAACTTCACGAATGGAAGTCTGTGTGGTCATTAAAAAGAAAACAAAGTGGAATAAACCTGATAGATACTAATTTAGAGTACTTATCACACAAAAGTACTTTCCTAACAAGTTTTGTTTTCCTTTTTAATTTCTGTAAATACATAACAGTTCTACTGGAAATAAACATTGGATAAATCAAACATGTATAGGCAAACCACATTATATCAGGCCAATGTACTATCTAAAGTGATGGGAATATCTCATGGCACCAATAATAAACAGATAAATTTACTTGGTCTGGATAACTTGCTAGGGTCCACAACTTATAGCTGGTAAGAAAACTGTTCTATCTTCATATTTATTGAATCAGTATCTAATTTTAACTCTAATTTAACAGATCACTAAAAGAAAGTTGCACGAATACATGAAAAAATATGACAGCATATCAAAACGTCACTGTCTTCATTGAGGTTTCAGACTTCCTCCTGAACTGTCTTGTCAGGTCCCCGAGCTGGCAGCGCTGGCTGTCCCTGCCCCTGAGCCTCCTCTTCCTCGTGGCCATGGGGGCCAATGCTATTCTGCTGATCACCATCCGGCTGGAGGCCTCTCTGCACGAACCCTTGTACTACCTGCTCAGCCTCCTCTCCCTGCTGGACATTGTGCTCTGCCTCACTGTCATCCCCCAGGTCCTGGCCATCTTCTGGTTTGATCTCAGGCCAATCAGTTTTTCTGCCTGCTTCCTCCAGATGTTCATCATGAATTGCTTCCTAGCCATGGAGTCCTGCACATTTATGATCATGGCCTATGATCGCTATATAGCTATCTGTCACCCACTGAGATACCCATCCATCATCACTGAACAATTTGTAGTCAAGGCTGCCATTTTTATTTTGACAAGGAATGTCCTCTTCACTGTTCCCATCCCCATTCTCTCAGCACGTCTCTATTACTGTGGGAACAATGTCATTGAGAACTGCATCTGTGCCAACATGTCTGTCTCTAGGCTCTCCTGTGATGACGTCACCATCAATCGCCTTTACCAATTTGCAGCAGGCTGGACTCTGCTAGGATCTGACCTCATCCTCATCTTCCTCTCCTACAGTCTCATACTTCGGGCTGTGCTGAGACTCAAGGTCCAGGGTGCTATGGCCAAAGCCTTTAGCACATGTGGCTCCCACTTCATCCTTATCCTCTTCTTCAGCACCATCCTTCTGGTCTTCGTCCTCACTCATGTAGGTAAGAAAAAGATCTCCCCTGATGTGCCAGTCATGCTCAATGTCCTCCACCATGTCATCCCTGCAGCCCTTAATCCCATTGTTTATGGAGTGAGAACTCAGGAGATCAGGCAAGGAATCCAGAGATTACTGCAGAAAGGGTGGTAATAAGTACAATGAGATCTCTACATTCCTAATATATGATATATATGAAAGTGGGTTGAAATCCATGATGCTCAGACATAATTTCTAGGAGTAAAGGAAGTTTAGTTATGAATTTAATTTTTTGACTCAATCCCCCCTTTTCAAACACCATCACCCTCTCCAAAAGGAAATCTGGCATCTCTGTGACTTTAAATTTTTTTCAAGGTTTTTATAATTTTATTTTTTACACTCCACAAAGATTTTAACATGTAAAAATTATGAGCATGTAATAATAGTATATATTTTGATGGGGATGTAGTCAGAGTTCAAGACATTTATACAGTGTGTACTACTAAAATGATGGTAATTAGAATTCCAATTTCCTTGTCACTTATTTATGTTCATAGACTTTAAGCTTCTCTTTTCTAGTTCCTCACAGATTGTATATTAGGAACTATGAACTAGAGCTAGCCCACTGTGCTGTGGAAAACTAGAATATACTGTTCATCTAACCATGCTTTGGTATCCATTATCCATCCAACTTACCTCTATCAGTCCCTCCTCCATCAACCACTAATAATCACCAGTCTACATTTAGATTATTTTATTTAAGCTTTCACATATGACAAAGAATATAGGGTATCTGTTTTTCTGTGTCTGGCTTATTTAACTTATCATATTGTCAAATAGTTCCATTCATTTTGCTGCAGTGGTCAAGATCTCATTCTTTTTATGACTGAATAATATTCCACTGTGTATTTATATCACATTTTCTTTATTCAGCCATTTCTTGACTGTTATGGCTAATCCTGAAATAAACATGGGAGTGCAAGTTTCACTTTGATAGGTTTATGAAATTTTCTTTGTATATGAAGGAGCTACCTTTCTCTGAAGGGAGGAGAGAACTTCCACTTTGACTACGACCTTGTCTAAATATGATCAGAGTCAGTGAACTCAGGGGGCTTTCATAGCCTTGACAACTCATGACAAGAGCCTAGGGTGATTACTGAGGCCATAAACAAGAGTGTCAATTTGTTAAGTCAACAACAGGAGTCACTGTGCACTTACTCCTCATGTAGGATTTCTGTCCTTAATGTGCTGTACAGTGTGATTTAATGCTATAACTAGTACTCAAACAGTATTCTTCACCTAGTGATTCTATGTGGGTGCAAACTGTTGAAATCTTTACTTAATGTATGCTAAACTGATCTTCTGTATATAAAGAGAATAGAAAATGAATCTTGATGTGAATGGAAGGGGGGAGGGAGAGGGAAAGGGGACGGTTGAGGGTGGGAGTGAAGTTATGGGGGGGAGCCATTGTAATCCATAAACTGTACTTTGGAAACGTATATTCACTAAATAAAAGTTAAAAAAATTTTTTCTTTGTATATACACCCAGTAATGGGACAACGAATCATATAGTAGATCTATTTGTAGGTTTTTGAAAAAAATCTCGATACTCTTCTCCATCACAATTGTATTTATTTCCATTCTCACCACCAGTGGATAAGAGTTTCCCTTTCTCCACAATCTTGCCAGTATTTGAAATTTTTATCTTTAGAAAAGCTTATTTGAGAGAGAGGAAGAAACAGAGTATAACATCATTCATGGTTCCATTTAAGATACTGTGGTCTTTTCAAAACTACATTATTCAACTGGGTTAATGATAATACTATTAATAATAAGTTACAGGCAAACCCCCAATGTACACAATTATATTTTAATTAAATGTACAAAGATAATCTAAATACATTATTAGTTTTGAATCATTTCTGTATTGTAAATTTCTTTTCACATGTTGTCATACTTCAAGCAAAATAGAATTCATAAAGATTGAATATCTCCCTGTATACAAAAATAATACAAAATCGATTAAAGACCTAACTGTAAAACTTAGAACTGTGAACTATTAGAAGGAAATATAGGGGAAATATTTTAAGACATTAGTATAGGAATGATTTCTTTGATAAGACTCAGAAACACAGACAACAAAAACAAAAAATAGTCAAATAGAATTATATCGAACTACAAACACTCTGCACAGCAAAGAAAGCAATTAACAGAGTAAGAAGACACCCTTAAAAATGATAGAAAATATATGCAAGCAATCCATCTGCAAGACTGATAGAATATAAAGCTAACTTAGGCCGGCACCACAGCTCACTAGGCTAATCCTCTGCCTGCGGTGCCAGCACCCTGGGTTCTAGTCCCTGTTGGGGCGCCGGATTCTGTCCCAGTTGCTCCTCTTCCAGTCCAGCTCTCTGCTGTGGCTCAAGAAAGCAGTGGAGGATGGCCCAGGTCCTTGAGCCCTGCACCCGCGTGGGAGACCAGGAAGAAGCACCTGTCTCCTGGCTTCGGATCGGTGCAGCGCGCCAGTCGCGGCGCGCCAGCCATGGCGACCACTTGGGGGATGAACCAATGGAAGGAAGATCTTTCTCTCTGTCTCTCTCTCTCACTGTCTAACTCTGCCTGTCAAAAAAAAAAAAAAAAAGAAGAAGAAGAAGAAGAATATAAAGCTAACTCAAAAAACTCAGCAATAACATAATCCAATCAAAATGAGTAAATGATTGCAAGATATTTCTCAAGACATGCAAATGATCAATAAACACATGAAAAAGTGCTTAATACCAATACTCATGAGGAAAATGAAAATCAAACCATGATGTGATGTCTTCTTATTTCAGTTATTAAAAAATGGCTACTATTAAATGACAAAGTATGGAGTGGATATTTAGCTTAGCCTACAACAGATTTTTGTGAGGCAGTGATGATGGCCCAAGTAATCGGATCTCTGCCAAGTACGTAGAAAACATGGATTGAGTTCCCAGCTCCTTGTACTGCCCTGGCCATTGTGGGTATTGGGGGTGAACCAACAGATGGGTGCTCTCTCTTTTTCTCTATTTCAAATAAACAAATTTTAAAGGGTAGAAATCATGAAAGAATTATTAATATGTACTAATTTGTACATTTATGGGTTTTACTGGATTTAAGAGAAGTTATATGAATCCTTTTCCTTAATGTCTTCACAATGTTGTCGGTATTTGAAGCTTCACCTTTGGGATTTATAGTGACTCAGTTTGTTATCTGTCTATAGGACAAGTATGTGCTTATATGTCACAATGTCAGAAGATGTAATAGTAATCACATTAAAATGTACTATGCCTTATGTTTTAAGATTTATTTATTTTATTTGAAAGAGATACACAGAGATAAGGTGAAACAGAGATAGCAGGAGAGAGAGAGAGAGAGAGAGAGAGAGAGAGAGAGAGAATCTTCCATCTGCTGGTTCTCTCCTCAAATGGCTGCATCAGCCAGAGCTGGCATAGGCTGAAGCCAGAAGCCAGGAGCTTCATATAGGTATCTCACAAGGGTGCAGGATCCAAAGCATCATCTGCTCCCTTCACAAGTGCATCAGAAGTGAAGCAGCTGGCAGTCAAATGGGTGCCCATATGGGATATGGGCATTGCAGCAAACAGCTTAACCCCCTATGCTACAATGCTGACTCCTTTACTTATTCTTAATTGTACAAACATTTTCTAAATAGTTGCTTTTGCGCAAGAATTTTGTTAGAGCTTAAAGGTGAAAAGATGCATAAAACAAAGTTGCAATCAGTGAGAAATTCTTGGCATTTAGGCAGAGTATAAACCTATCTTTTCTCTAGGATAGTAATGGGTAAGGAATCATTTCTTTTTCTTTTTCTGGGGGCGGTGGTGAGCAGAGAATGTGATGTAACTTCCCATTTACTCACTGGTTCTTTATCATTTTATTTTTATTTTTATCAATATAAAGGAGACAGATTTCACATATTTCATAGATACAATAGTAAGATAAAGAGACTTCCCTCCCCCCTTCAAATCTTCCTCCTTCCTTTCTTTCTTCTTTTTCCTTTAATTTCTGTCGTAACTTACTTTCAATTTCCTATATAATCACAGGCTTAATGCACCACTAACATTAATGTTCAACAAGTAAAAAGTAGACTTAACACTTAGAAAGAAGTAGGAAGAAACTGGGTACAAATAAGTACTGGAAGTGAGTTGAGAATGCCTAAGATGGTGAGACTGCTTTTATGCACTCTAGACCTCCCACAACTGCAAATGTGACTGGAGTCAAACTATCAACATCATTCAGTTTCAGAATCCTAATCAGTTACATGAAGGCAGTAAACTGACTGTCTTAAAAATATATTGTATTTTTTATTTTTAAATGTTATTTAAAGTATACAAATATCATATATTTCACATAAACAGATTCAGGAGCATATTGATACTTTCTGCCTTACCTTCCTCTCTCCTTCCCATGCTCCCACCTTTCTTCCCCCTCCCTGTCCTATTCCCATTCTTATTTTTTACAAAGATCCATTTTCTGTTAACTTTATACTCATAAGATTAACCCCTCACTAAGTAAAGTTTCAACTAATAGTATGAAGAAAAAAAAAAAAACCTGCTCCTCAACAGTTGAAACAAGAGCTGTTCAAAATAATCGCATCTCAAAGAGTCCATTTCACTCCTATAGATTACCTTTAAGGTACTCTATTAGTTACTACAGAACAGGGAGACATATGTTATTTGTCTTTTTGTGACTACCTTATTTCACTAAGTATAATGGTTTCCAGTTGCATCCATTTTGCTACAAATGACAGGATTTCATTATTTTTACCACTGTGTATGCAACTACTTACTTTCTCAAGGCAGGCATCCCTCACACTATTGAGTCTCTACCATACTTCTTTAAGCATAGGACTGGACACTTCCTACATTCTCTCAATGACAATTGAAAACAAATGAGAAATGTGAATGTTGTACCAGGGATAATTTTAGGATTCCACAACTTGGGATTTTGTTCATAGATCAAAATCCAACCTTCCTGAAAACCCACTTATATGAGACCCACATCAGTTATAGGTCCACTTGCATACAAATACCCAGAGCAAGGATGCAGTCTTTCTTGTTTATTCATTCATTCATTTATTAGTTTATTTGTGGGCAAGGAGACAAATAAGGGCCTCACAAGGGTACCCTGCAATAGGAGGTGAGAAAGAGCAATTTTGACACCAATAGCCTCTGCAGCTGCACTCGTGCATGTGTGTTATTGGGGGATTTTACCAGAGGGAAATCCTGTTTTCCCCACTGACATTGTGACTGGGAGGGTTAAGTGGGCTGGACACCCATGTAGGACTTGGAGGTGCCCCCAGCTTTTCAACACATCACAGGCTCCAGGGCTCAAACTGCCCAGCAGAGTACCCACAGGCAGCTGACTCTGGGAACATCTCAGCTCCCTCAGTAGGTGGGACAGGCTGTCAGGTCAGAGCGGATGCTCTGCATCCTGTGACTGTGGGAGCCTTGTGTGCTGAGAATATGGAACTCTGTGACTACATGATATGGTGCAGAGTGTAGCTGGGTCTCTGGGAAATCAGTATGCCTGGGGCCAAAGACTCAGAGCTCCCTGATTGCCTTGGGTAGGTCACTGCGGAGGAATTCATGATCACACTGAGGACTGAACAGTCCTTTGCTTGGTTCATATGGCAGCATGAGTGGGTGGTACACCCACTGTGGAATAACCCTGAGAACTGATCACCTTTGAAGAGAGGAGGTGAGGGCATGATCACACCAACAGAGGTGATCCTACTCTTCCCCTGCTGACAATTCAGGAAATCTACCATCTCCAAGTTGAGTGTCACTCTGGATACTTATTCCAACCTGGAGAACTAAACAGAGCTCTCTGACCACACC